AAGATGGATTGTCTTGATACTTGGTAGGTGGGTAGGTCTTCATGAGACGTGGAACTGATTAAATTTGGGCCCCTAACGGCTTGTTATGATACTGCAGCTGAACTTCCGGTTTTGATATCTCGTGATCTAGACATGCTAGGGTGACGAAATTTGGATGGTAGGTAGCTCTTGTGCTGGGGAACAAGTGACGTGAGTTTGGACCCCCTAGCGGCTTGCTCTGGAATTGCAGGGGCATTAGTTGAAAAATGTTTAAAGGCGGATAACTCAAGAACCGATTGATGGATCGTCGTGATTTTTGGCATGTAGGTAGCTGAAGTGATGCTTGACATAATGTTATTACAATTATGCAAATATTAATTGAATTTGCATAATTAATGAGGAAATTCTATATATCAGCTGCATTCCATGATAGGACTATTCAAGCTTGTGATATATGTAATGCAGAACGGCAGAAATACAGGCAGATATCGATTATGCAAATAAAGACTTAATTTGCATAATTAACGAGAAAATGTTATAATTACATAGTGGTAATGTCTGGAATTTTATACTTGGGATATTTGAAAGTTATGTGAAGGTGAACATTATTAAACATAATTTATTCAAATAAGGACCTCATTTGCATAATTTATGAGGAAATGCTATAATGGCATGCATTAATAAGATAAGACTGTCTTCTGGTGTAGAATATGATCAACAGATATAATTGATGCAATATAGGATCCTATTCGCACAATCAGGGGGATTCATCTATAATTTCTTAGTCATAAAGGCTAACATCATTTGGCGAAGGTATGAGATCGTGGAACTCTAGTTTGGCATGTAACACACTCCCTTATAGGATAATTTGTATCAAGTTGATAATTGGACAGTGACATTTGCATGTCAAGAACAATAGCTGACCTAGTTTTAACCCGCATAACAATTGTACTTGGAGCAGAATAATTACTGAATGGGTACTGTTGGACAGAAATAGAGGATTGTATAATTCCTTGCTTTGAAAGCAGGCTCAAGTTGTGAATATTAGGCTTCTTGCTTATCTACTTAGTCTAAGTATTTAGGCTCATATTTATATATACTTAGTCTAGTATTTTGTTGCCAAAACTGGAAATAATCTGGAACAACTTTCCAATATTTCAATCATATTTCAACTTCACAGTCAAAAACATGGCCGCCAACACAAGAATAATTTGCCCCAATATGGACGGACCAAAACAAAGAGTCTGAATATAAACAAATTCCAGGTTTATCCATTTGTTTGGCATTTTGATTAATGTCATGTGAATAGTGCTTACAATAGCAAATAGGTAAACTTTAACCATGTTGGCTAGATTCTAAGGAATATTTTAGCCACTTTTTAAAGATTTTAATGACTGAATTATTAGCATGAGCCAGGTTTGGAAACCAGTACTAGTTGTATATAAATTTCATGCATTGGATACTTCTTAATAATGCATCCTGGTATGTACAAGTAGTTGCATTTACCAGGCACATCAGAGAGGTCTATCTACCTAGCACAACTGTTGAGCATGTAGTGGGCAAATTTAGTGACTTAAATAAGCTAACATTTCCCCCCCCCCCCTCCTTTTGAACCCTCTGTCCCTACTGTCTCAAAAGTCTATGGGATTCTGATTGCTTTGCCACTGAAATTCCTTCTTCTTCCCTGAAAATTTGCTAAAAGCAAAATCAACCCACTCAAAGTTGTAGTTTTCTGGGTGAGTTGACAGGTTGAAACTGACCGGGCACAATCTAATAACCTCTGGATATCTGACTTGCAATAAACCTTCTTGGTCAGGATACTGTCCTTTATTTCTTATCTCCAACCCAAGGAAAATTGGACCCTCTCTGGCCGATGGATACTGCCTGGCCAATTTCATATTTCTTTTTGCCACCTTAGGATCTGCTTGGAGCTAGTGCTTCATTTCCAGTCACCACAGTTCTCTGAACAAAAACAAAGGTCTCAACTCTCAAGCCAACCCAAGCCAGTGCACATTATGTAAATTGGGGGTAATTGGCACGTCAACGTGAAGTTGGAACTGCACACCTGAGGCAAACTCTTTGAAAGGACAGTAATGGTGTCCTCCCTATTAAATTTCATTTTATACCTTCTTGCATAGAAATACTAGTACATTTGTATATCATTGCTGTGGTTGTAATGTAGAAAATACTCCAGGGTCTGTAGAAAAGAAAGTTATCGGAGAAGGGCAAAATCACTTTTTTCTTCAAACATCACACCCACCGACCTATAATCTCCAAGCAGATCCTACTGTGACAAGGCTGTCAGCTTTGTCACAGTATAGGATCTGCTTGGAGATCCTACAGCAAATGGAACCAAGGACCTTGATGGAACAGACCATGCTACAAAATGTCCCCACCCACCCAAAGTGTCGTTTCTCCCCATTTACAGAAGTACATTTTGACCGTAGTAGTTATACAGTAGACAAATACACATCATTCAAGTATTTCTCCAGCCATGAAATATGAATGTAGGATGTACTCAGTAGACTATTTTGTAGGGCACCAATGGCCGCTTGTGTGTCTACCTATTATTATAAGTGGCTGCAAAGAGCTTTCATTAAAATTGATGAAAGCTCCTTTCGCTGTAAAAAGTCTCAATAAGTAAACAATGCAGCCAATTAACTTGTCTCAGACAGAACAATGGGACAAAATACACACGATGTCAAGTTTCTCAGCAAGTCACACCAAGCTTTTTAAAGCTCCTTGGTTTAAAGATTTCATGACATCCTCACAAAAATACTCTGCACCTGCGTGGTGGTACCAAGGAGGTAAAAGAGAGAACCTCCCTTTTTTGTGACAATTATCAGAGATTGCTCCCATTCTTGACCAGCTAAGGCATTTTGCTCATTATATGACACGATTATGACCATATGAAAATTTGTGGGCAATATTCACAAGAACGACTGACTGTTTTCAGCTGCTAAGCCATTAATTTCGATCCCCGAATATTGTGGCCAGTGTAATAGCAATTGAGGAACTTGATCAATTTATTTGCAAGACCTGTGTGTTCTACATCTCAATTCTTACAAATAGACTGAAGGAAATAAATTTAAGTATTATTTTATATGGCCTCCTTCAGTCAATATTGATCATGTCGGTAAAATTCTATTTAGACATTAGCTTTGGAGTAGTGAGTATGTGTTTGTAAGCTCTCTGGAATCTTTCTTTTTTGTGACCCTTATAGTTGGCTGAAAGGGGCAGATAGAAGAGTGTGGATTGTGCTCTCCATGCTTATTCTTTGTCCTGATAATGTCGATTTTGCACATCAATTGGATTGGATGACTGTCTGAGCTCACCCCAATGGGATCAGAGCTCACCCCGATCGGGGTAAACTTGCCCCGTCGGTGTGTATAGACTGATCAATTCACACCTTTCCTGGCTTTGTTTTGGGATTTTGCACCTCTTTGACCAGAACTCCCACCCCGTCGGGGTGACATTACCCCGTCGGGTTTAGTGATTATGACAGTGTCACCCCGACGGGGTGAGTACCTTACACCGACGGGGTGAGTACTTTACACCGACGGTCCTGTGATTTGGTCCTGACGGGGTAGCTGCTAGCCCTGTCGGGGTGCTGAAAAACCCGTCGGTCTGCTTGCATTTTCTATAAATGATATCTAAAGTTATGAATACTGCAGAACAATAATTTTCATATCACTATACTCCTTACATCAAGACCTGCGCACTGATGTGAAACTTGAATGCAAAATGTTAATTTTTACTTGACATTCCAAATGGCCAGTGACTTTCCTAAATTGAGATGACCAGTGTTACAACCATATAATAAAATTAAGTCGGTGTGGCCTAAATGTCAAAAAGCCCAGATTTTCTTTCACCACCTCCAAAGCGTGTAATGCCGTGCTCAACATTACTTGACATTTAGGGCTCTGGGATTCTCCATTGAGGATCAAATCTTCCTTGATTATTTTCCACATCATTATGGCCTGAGGATTTGAGTTAAAAGGTCCTTGATACAAGAGGCACTAAGTTTGATGTGTGACACCTCGGGCAATAAAATAAGCTCTCTTCAGTTGTGTCTCAAATCCCATGCTTTAGTTTCACCACTAGCTTTGAAAATTAAACCTCCTTTGATTTTGATATTTTTCACATACATGTAATTATGGCCTGCGGATTTGACGTCACATACTGTTTTGAGGTACCAAAAGGTTCTTGATAAGAGACTTAGATTGTATCAAGGAGGTCCTTGGATTGTATGTATGACACGTGACACATGTGCAAAGGGCAGATGTCTTTTCAATGATGTGAAAACCTGTTAAGCTGGTACCATCTGGATTTTCACTCCACAACGCTCAAAAAAATAAGCATTGCAGAGTGAAAATCTGGATGGTACCAGGCTAAAAACCTGTACTTTGTTCAACAGTTTGAAATTGTTTAAAGCTTCGGGCACAGACTCATACATGTACACATGTATATGACATCGACCACCAGTAAATTGGGCCACTTTTCAAGATTAGAGCTGTGATTGGCCCACCCAAGGAGGTTCTATGGCCCACCCACTGCCCCAGATAATTGCAGTGACGTCAATTACAATGCTGGCACCTTTCATCCCATCCCCAAAAAAGACTGAATATGTATACTAACAAAATCATTAGGAGGGACCTGCAGCTACAGGTAGGGCAGAAAAAAATTGATAACCTGTTCAACATAATTAAATTTGGTTGGTTTTTGCTTTCCCTTCATACATCAAATCATACTGTTACAGAATTGATGTCAGGTACTGTGTGGCATGTACATGTATGTGTCCTGTAAACTAGGTTGAAATACATTTGTAACATGCCTTATTGCTCTGAACTGTTGATAGCAAAGTTCTTAATTTATAACCAAGATGCATTATGATAAGTTTGTGCTATAGAAGTGACCGCAAAAAATATAACAGTACCACAAAAAATTGTGATTTACAGTATCTTCCCATTTGCTTGAAGTCATTTTTGCTATGAAAAGCCAGTTGCATCAAAGCTTTCATGATATTCTGCCCCCTGATGGTTTGACATCACTGCTTGGAGGTAAGAGGTCCTTGATACAAGAGACACGCATGCACGAGTCCTACTCCTGGACACATGTAGGACACACGTGGATTGCAGAAGATTGAGGTCAACTAGAAAATTGCGATCCCAATTCTGCAGAATTCCGGGAACTGGAGCCAGAATTCTGGGAACTGGAGCCAGAATTCTGCCCATGGGGTCCTCTATGGCTGCTTTATTTTCACCTATACATGTAGTTTACAATATTAGCCCATCTAGATGTATAGTTGCTGACATATGAGAATTAGTCCAGAATTAAACTTTAAAGTTCAGCATGATAAAGGTTGATTTTATCTCACAAGACTGCTTGGAAACCTCTGATGTGTATATACAATGTATATACTAGTAGTACAATGTATTATTGCATGTATGTTATGTTACCTACCATCAGGGTCTGTGTGGAAGAGGTGGGAGGGTACCGGCTTCTGTAGCCTGGCCACCTTCTCAACAGTACGCTTCTGGGCAGAAGTCAGCCTGCAGTGGGGAACAAGGTTTAACAGGTGCCACAAATCATATTCTGCTGTTCTTATTACATAAATCAGTATAAATCTTATCTTTTTACTAGAAGGGCCAGTTTTTTTTTTGTAATAATGCTTAAAATTGTCTAGCAACTGAACAATGAGATTTGAATTCTGCCAAGGCTTCAATGAAAACATTACAATTCAACAGGTTCTGAAAAAGTAATGACAAGCTACAGTTATATTTGATAATATCATTACAATTTTCTAAATGTATTGTCATTGTTTTGGTACAAACCGGTGTTTGTATCAGTAAAACTATCCATTTGGGATCTTTTTTGGTATTTTGTTTGTTTGTTTGTTTGTTTGTTTTTCTTTTTTGGAATCATGCGTCACTATAGATCATACCTCCTTTGCTCCAAGGGTGTGTAGTCAACCTGCATGGTGGAGGCCGCTGGAGACGCCCCCTGGCGATCCTCGTCTGTCGGTACAGCTACCACACGCCAGATGAACTCATTGTAGTCAACGAGTCCGTTCTCACCCACCTGACACCTTGGTACGAAAAAGTGTAAGTTGTGATTTGAGTAGATCTGTCCTTGGTGCTGAACTTGAAATCACTGTTCAAAGAACCAATTGTTGTAAAAGATTCTGGCTATATCAGTAGCATTATTGCGAAATTCTTGCTTTTTACGTCGCATTATAAAAATACTGAGAGTACCGTACTCGTTCATGATGGTCTGAAAGGTCTCCGTGTCGGTAGCGACTCCTAGCGATTTGCATATGCGCTGCAGCGTCTCCTTGTCCAGCCTGCCAGTGACTGCGGGGTCGGCTGGGAGGATCGCCTTCTTCAGCACAGCGTGCAGGGGATCCCGTTCCCTGGAAAAATACGTGCATATAAGCAAACTGATGATGCTGTTAAAGGTAAGGAAAAGTTACTCAGTTATGGGCTAATGACTCGTAACGAGAGGTAAAAACAAGAAGGTTGACACTGGAATAAACCTTGACCAGTGAATGCTGACGCACAGTGACAGGCCCAATAAAAATTCTAAAATGCGGAACTGTATGCGGCTCAAGATGTCTTTCTGAGGTACAACTGTCATAGATTTAGGTTGGCTAAGAATGAGTCTACTCTACTTTATATTTGACGAGTGAATGCTATGAAATACATAGAAAAAAATAACTGAATATCATTACTTAGCCTGGCATCCAGTCTATCGTGGTTAGGGCAGGCTGTCTACGGGGCTCTAATAAATTTCCCCCGTCAAGCTCGACATTTCGCCCGGTAGGAGTGTTACACCTGTGATAGAGTTTTGCACGCTTTGAGTTGATTATCCCAACCACAAAAGACGATCGTGCTGGGGCTAATTGAACTCTCATCGTGCAAAACATACCGGGGAACGGCTGAGTTGGGCGGGAGAAGGGCTTCTACAGCCCCGAAGAGAACCCGCCCCAACCGCGATAGACTGGACACCAGGGAGTTAGTACTCTGTTACGAACCTGGAAGGTAAGGTGACACATCCTGCAGGCGGTTCGGTGCCGTTTTCAGCCGGCCAGGAGTAGGAGGAGCTGGCCACGGAGCCGGGCTGGTCACCCGGTGTCCTCCCCGACCACAACTCGAAGTGCGTCTTCCTGCAGTCCTCCACGCGGCCGCTAACCAACGCTTGGCGCTGTTGCATCTTCTCCACCGTGTACTCATCGCCAGGTGCAGGTTGGTAAGACCCCTGTTTAAAAAAATATATTGTAGAAAAAATACCAAACCATACAAACAGGTCACCACTAAAAAGGACCCGCATGGTAATTGCATATACTATAGTCTACAGCTTCGTTCAGTCATGCATTCAGCCACCAATTCATTCATCTCTATGTTATAGAATACACAAAATACATACCGACTATTGAAACCAAAAACTAATGCCGTAAAAAATACTTTCATATATATACAGGTCCATCTCGATATGGCTTGCCTTGTGGCGTTCAATCGGCTAGTAAACGTACGTTTCGGGTATAAAGTTTTTTTTAATAAGAAAATAGTTAAAACGCTTGTTTCTCTTCTTCAGTTTTCCTTCTTTTTTTATTAACTTATACTCAATTAAAAACGGGAGCTTCGTATGTATATAAGTGAATCAGTTTATAGAATGTAAATAGTAGTTGTACGGTAGCTTGCATGTCTTATGTCTGTATGTTTTAGTGTAATCAGAAAGATTACGTTTGCAAAACTTAATGTTGTTATGTCAGCTAAAGGATAATGAAGTACTAGTATCAAAAGTATCCAAGTACACGTTTAGGAGTGGGCATAGACACGTAACGTATAGGTGGTTAGATTCGCCATTAAATGTAGGTTAGCGTCCATAGTCACATTACAGCTCACAATGGAGACCGGCTATGTACGCTCGCGTCTTTTGTTTATCTTCTAAATACATAAAAAAAGCTCTCTTAGCTTGAATCCCTTTCAAAAAGACAAGACTTTGTAAAACGTGAACATTTTCTCTTACTCACGTGGTGTTCAGAAGACATGTAGTTCTTGTCGCCTTGTCGGTAGTTAAAGTCCAGAAACGGATACTTGCAGACGGGAGGGCCGACAGGCGATACCATGAACTCAGGCGGGGGTGTCTTATAATCCGCTCCCATAACTACCAACACAAAACAACGTACAGTTACTGTAGTTACTGTACAGTTACTGTAGAACTGTAAAGTTACTGTACAGTTACTGTAGGATAGATGCAGTCTGCATGTCATATACAAAAATGTATTGTGTCCTACTGGACTAAAGAATTGACTTCACTTACAATTGACTTGACTTACACATGTACTAGCCATACTATTTATATGTTAATCATTAGTTCTTGCTTATAAACCTGCTTTTTTTCAGTGTCACTGACGAAAGGTAAGCAGATGCTACCTAAAACGTCTGACCAAAATCATATCCAGCTGCTTGAGTACCTACTGTTCTTTGGCCTACATGTCATATTATGAAAATTAATTCAAAATGCAGCATAGAAAAGGAGTATCTGAACATTTTAAAATCAAATCAAAATATTTTCCAAAACACAAAAATTCACATTTACAATGTCACCACACACTCATGTGACTGTTTGGTACTTACTGGACCGCTTGAGATCGTCAGCGTTGTCATCCTTGTCGGAACTCATCCCCACACTAACGCTCTCCATCAGGTCCTACAGCAAAGGAACCGACACTAGAATGAGACACTGGATGTTTGAAAATACTGCAATGGGTCACTAAATTACAAGTAAAGGGACCGTCCGTATTTCACTGTTCGCGCGTTGGGCAAAAAAAGAGAAGAAAGTCGAAGGAGAGACTATGCTTGCGTGCATGCAAACAAGCTGAACGCCATCTTGATTGTTTTGAACACAACAATACAGGTTATGTTGTTTTGATAAGAAACTGAACACCAACAGTGCGTTTCTGCACAATACAATACTCCCTGGTGTACCAAAATGAACTGTCCCCGTAGTTAGACTATGTTGCTAGCCAAGCTTACGTGCCTACGATCATTTGTCGTGGTGACACTTTTCCGTGCCAGAGAAGGTATGAAAACAAAGGCAGTCGTGCGGATAATTTAGAACAATGATTCGCTACATAGGAGCTACATTTCCAACCATTCAAAGGGTCGATAAATTGCTCTCCAAACACCGCTGAATGAAAGCATCAAATGAGAACTATTTCTTTTCATTCTCTGTCCTTCGCGGTCGTATCAGCTTTCTACCACTGTCTCCGTGTTACAGTTACACTGGACCTATTCTTTTATCGATACGCTAGAAACTACATACCTTCATCTTACTCCTGAAGTCTCGCTTCTTTTGAAGCTGAAAATAGAAAACACGTTGAGTATGTGATACGTTGTCAAGGCGGCAAAATATTTCTCAAATCACTTAGCAATATATGTTTAGGTGCTTTAATTCCAGGCCTACCCGTTTTAAAAGCTCGCGACTTATTCATATAGCACCCACATACTAACGCATAGAAATCACGATCAAAATAATTATGATAACAGATATTCTATCGGAAGTGCATTGAAAAAGCGTGCAAACTGCATTGGCATGTGCTAATGATAGTTACCAAACTTTGACGCATTTTTTACCAGAATTATCCATTCTCATAAAGGACTATCACTAGTACTTCCTCTAGCCCATTTTTTTACCAAAAGGTAATTCTGAGTTCTCTCAATGGTAAAAATATTGGATAACACTTGTTGTTTCATTTCTGTATTTATCTGTTTTTATTTGTTTTGTTTTTTGTTGTTTCCTACCTTTTCGCTGACCACGCTCGGTGTGAGCCAACTCCGTAAGGTGTTGTCGTAACTCGTGGTGCTGAGGCCCAACCCGGGCTGACGGTGCATCACGTCCCACATCTGAAACAACGAAACAAAACAAACAAACAAACAAACAAACAAACAAGATTACTAACAGGTATGGGTCTATCAAAATTCTACATATAGGTTCAACGAGTAATATGTCTAGCAGAATGTTGAATAGAACTACTAAGAGCTAGTACAGAGCTATTCCTTTCTGTATCTGTATCTGTATAGCCGGTATAACCGCCTTTCGGCGTAACACACCAGCTTCGCAGGCTTTGCACCTGTATTTAACCCAGTGGGTATGTATGTACCATAAAAATCTTTCATTGTGAAAAACCAAGGACGTAGCTGAACGTAGAACTCCCTTGGAAAAACAGAACGTCAGTATATCACTAAAACAAAAAAACAACACATAAGGTTGAAATTTTCTATCGAAGTGCGGTGAAAACCTCACCTGTGCGTCTGGTGGGGCGTGTGAATGTTGGCAACCTAGCGTACCCCGCGCAGGGAACTTTGGGAAGTCTTTCCCGTACAGCGACAAGACCTGGTCTCTGTTGTAGCCAAGCTGCGGAGAGAAAACAAGTTAAACATCGAAAGGATCAATGATAATAGAATAATGCTTCGTTACGTTGAATCTGAATCGACTGCGATGTGTAGAAAAAGCCGCTGATATATTATCAATTCATATACTAAGTAAATGAATAAACAGTTGAGTAAAATGCCAAATTTTTCGAGGGGAAGAAGATTTTGCCGAACATATATCATTTACGAATGTGTCCATGAATGTAGGTGGCACTACTACGATGTTACACGCTCTCCCTCTGCATGCGGCGCCTGAAAAAGTTGCTCCTATTGCTGCAGAGATGTTTTATAGCCGTTGTCGGGCGCTTTTGATCGATGGCGATTTTAATCAGTCAGACTATGAAAATCGATATCCTTTTTTGTGTTAAAGGTCAATTTTTTTTACTTGTTTCAATTTGTTTCTTTTATGTGACCATCTAAGATAAATATAAATAAATGACAATGTTAAGGAAATTTCTGAAAAAAAAACAATGGGATAGTCTTCTTGTAGATTTCTTGTCAATTTTTCAGAAGGGTTACCACTTCTTGAAGGCGCTTGCATCTACTTTTGTGTGTCCATAAACTCAAGTGTGTTCTTAAAAACAAGAATTTGGGGACCTCAGGCCTCCATGAAATATCTAGATCTCGTTTGATGGTGACTGTGTCCTCCTGTCTGCAAGTCTTTCTTTCTATCGTGCAAGGGAAACAACGCCAGCTGTCAGCTGTCAAGGAGGTCATGTAATGAAAAACAGCGAGCGCTAGGAGATGTAGACGTAATTAATGACTTACTTTCTCCCTATGGGACAGACTGAATCCAACCATATTCATTACAACCTGACCTAACGGCTATGCGGAAACACAGTCACACACACGGACCCACACACACATACAAAAAACAATACCTCCTTTTTTCATGGAGGTAATTACAACTTACAACGAAGTCACTCTCCTCTGCCGCGTCTGGCTGGTTGGGTCTCCACTGGCGGCGCAGGCTGTCCGACTTGTTCCTGAAGCGGTCAAACTTGCACACCATCCGGTCCACCTCCACGTCTCTCCGCTCCTCGCCGCCCAGAGGCCGGTAGTCCGCCCGCTGTAGGCTCACGTACGTGCCGTCAGGCTTCAGCCGAGACCACAGTGCTGGAAAAAGCACACGGAAAGGTTAGAAACTCGTATTCCGTTTTGTCGAAGTCTTAAGCGGTGGTGAGAGAGGGGAAAGGGGGCAAATTAAAGACAAACCATACAGATACAGAGGTGTCCGTGAAAACAGTGAACATAAAAGTACGGTGAAAAAAAATCAAGAATACATGGACATTCACGAGGTACCATCTTTGCTTTCTAGTTATATCGATCTTACAACTCTGAACAGGTTAACACAAAATCAGCACCAAGGAAAGGGCTATCTAAACAGACAGAAAAGTAGGACGATGCGAATGGATATTTCCAATGATGATCATCATATCTATACTGTACTGTATAGTGTAGTGTATACAATAAACATTTTAGGCCACAGCAAGTAAATTTTATGGATGACATCCTCCACAGACTCCAAATCTAATGCGAGCGGGTGAAGAAAAAAACAAGGCGGGCCGAAACAAACAAGGTTCCTACATTTTAAAATGTTGTACAAATGGTTTTGATTCAGTGGGAACATCACATATACACAGCCAACATCACATATCACTGCATATCAAAGTAAGAAACAAAACATTAAATCAGAGCCTTTTCTTGTCTCCTCTCTTCATAGTCATCTGCCATCCACCTTCCGGCATGGCAACAGACATCTTTGCCCATTTTCGGCATGGTGACCACTGTCAGAAGGTAACAATTTTTTTTTTCCTCCAAAATCAGGCGAAAATTAATGCGACCGCTGATTTCATCCATAAAAAATACTTGCTGTGGCCTTACTCTTTACAACTCACGTGCCGATCTTCCCCGTTGTAACCACGTACCTGTCAGGTGAGTTAGGAACTTGACGTAGTCGACTGTCCCTGCTTCCGTGACGCAGTCGTCCCACAGCAGCCTGTCCAGGTCTTCATCCGTGAAACCCCGTCCGAACAGCGTCACGCACGCCTTCAGGAGGTCCGCTCTCGGTAGGAAACCAGATCTTAGAAAAAAAACATGCATTTGGTTATGTTAATCTGTATCGGTATAGCCGGTGTAACAGCCCTTCGGCGTAACGCACCAGCTTCGCAAGCACGCGGCGTGGCGACAGCTAGCTATATTACAGCGAACGACTTGTTACACTCAAACTTCAAGATTTAACTGCAGTTGTGTGAATGCAAATTGCCAATATATATACTATACGAGTATGATAATGACCATCATATCTATAGAGTAACCCTTTCTAGTGATGATGCCCCAATTGTGCTCGGTGGCAAAAAGTTCCACTCTACCATCGTTCTTGAAAAATACGAGTTTTTGAACGGCTCAATTCTTGGTTGATGACTGATATTTGAAGGCATGACTGGTTCTTTTCTGTGCTGGTATTAGGTACTTAGTGGTTGGTACGTCCACCAGCTTATTATTTATTTTGTACATTATGTATAGTCTGGACATTTTTTGTTTGTCTTCAAGCGACTCCCACTGTAGGTTTCTTTTCGTTTCCGTTACACTAGCACCCCTTTCATAGTTGTACATTTAAATAAACGCTACCAAAAACCAAACCATTCATAGTTGTACATTTAAATAAACGCTTCCAAAAACCAAATCATTCATAGTTGGACATTCATACAAACACTACCTAAAACTAAACTTCCAGTCGAGGGTAACAACTGTCCTACCTACCCGTCGCTGTGGTACTGTGAGAACGCCGTGAGGAGGTCTGTAGAGCTCGGTTGTGGCGGGAGGCGGGACAGTCGGCAGGCTTCAGTCCTCATGGCGGTCCTCAGCTGCAGGGCGGGGCTACACGAGCTGTCCGGCACCGCGCATGTCTCATCCCTATACCGGCAATACCATAACTTCAACATAATAATTAAGACGGACATAACTTCAACTTTACAAACTGATAGCCGTGTTATCGGGCTCTCCAAATGGGCTTTCTCTATATCATAATGCGCCTTCTTTTTTTTTCTGTTATACTACTTGTATTTGGTCCGGGGTTCTTTTGCTGAGCCGGTACAAGGGGGAAAAGGTACAAATAGAAATGCTATGCCAGAGAGGTCCGGGGTCTTTTGCTGAGCCAGTACTAGTTTAAAAAAACGGTACAAATAGAAATGCTATGGCAGAGAGGAGAAAATCACACATATATATATAATATAAAGGCTTACCCAAAAGCCCAGTCGTATGGCCTGTATGCTAAACGAGTCGTTGCCACGAAAAAAGCTAATCTAAGAAAAGCGTTGAACTCAGTATCTAGACATTTCGACGTAATGAATAATTAACAGTTCCAAATGATAACTCTACAGTTCCAGATGAGGGGCGACTACGGTGTGCTAGATGTTAGTTAGCTTGAGTGGTGAATCCAGTTTACTTCATATCTATTGCAGACATTTACACGTAGTTGTAGGTGTACCTCGGCCTGGGTATTACATGACTGTAGTCCTTCAACACCTTGGTAACGATGCCAGCCGGGTGGACGGGTTTAAGTCGTCTGCCGCTCGGAACGCGAGAGCCAGGGCGGTGGTGCTTCTTCTTCCCCTCTCCCGGGGACTGTTTCTTCGTTTCCCCGGCCGTGATGTTGGTAGTCCCGCACTCTGGTGGCGTTGTCCCGCCCGCTCGACGGGCCGACTTCGTCCGTGCAGACTTCCCCCGACGACGTGGCTTGGCCGAGGTTTGATAAGAAGCTTCTGTCTCGGTGTTGAAATGACTGAAAACGAAAAAGAAAAAAAAATTGTTTCACTAAAAAGGTAACATTTACAAAGCAAATGCATTATGTTAACCTTCACATGGTCTAGCACAAGAAGTTACTGCTCTGTTTATTCTCATTCTCATAGTTATATAAATAACTCCGTCCTGCCACTTGCTACATAAAAAATGTAATCCAACACCACTGGGTGCCTGCCACAGCACCAGTTACCATGGTGACAGCTGTCTGATTGAGGTCATTGACCTTATTTGCAATTGTTTGGAACGGAAGAAGAGGAAGAAGAAAAACTGGAGCAAAAACTTCTGCGAACGCAAACATATTAAGAATCAATTTGAAGGAATAAAAGAATCCCAATGACATCAAAATTATATTCAATATCAGCTACATTTTACTCAATGATGAAATCAACCCCTACCTGTCGCCATCGAGTCCAAGATTGAAGTGAGTCTTGAGAAGGTACGCTGTCGTCTGCTGGCGCCTGCGCAGTTGTTCCCCGTGAAGGCCTCTGTGTGTCTTTTGAAAATGCTCCAGGGCCTGTAAAGGATCGAAAATAGAGCCTCCGTATGTATGTCATAATTCAAAGGCTGTGTCAGAGCACTTACAACAACCCGGACCCGTTTATTTTTCAAAGAGTCGGACAATTCATCTCCCACTGCCTCCTGAGAAGAGGTCAAACACCCTAATAGCTTGACTAGAATAGTATAGTATAGTATAGTATAGTATAATATAGTATAATAGAACATAAGTTAACTTATCATGTTCCTCCTATTTGTTTATGTATCACATATCCACTCTTTGTCTCGTATACGTACGTTATTACCTTCGCCAAGAAGGTTATGTTTTCAGAGGCGTTCGTGTGTCTGTGTGTGTGTGTGTGTGTGTGTGTGTGAGCACGATAACTCGAGAATGCCTGGATGGATTGTCTTGATATTTAGTAGGTGGGTAGGTCTTGATGAGACGTGGAACTGATTAGATTTTGGGCCACCTAGCGGTTTGTTATGGTACTGCAGCTGAACTTCCGGTTTTGATATCTTGTGATCTAGACATGCTAGGCTGACGAAATTTGGATGGTAGGTAGCTCTTGTGATAGGGAAGAAGTGACGTGAGTTTGGGCCCCCTAGCTGCTTGCTCTGGAACTGCAGGGGTGTTAGTTGAAAACTGTTTAAAGGCGGATAATTCAAGAACCGATTGATGGATCGTCCTGAGTTTTGGCATGTAGGTAGCTGAAGTGATGCATGACATAATAATATTACAATTATGCAAATATTAATGTAATTTGCATAATTAATGAGGAAATTCTATAAATCAGCTGCATTCCATGATAGGACTATTCAAGCTTGTGACATGTAATTCAGAACGTCAGAAATACAGGAAGATATTGATTATGCAAATGAAGACTTAATTTGCATAATTAGTGAGAAAATGTTATAATTACATATTGGTAATGTCTGGAATTTCATACTTGGGATATTTGAAAGTTATGTGAAGGTGAACATAATTAAACATCACTTATTCAAATAAGGACCTCATTTGCATAATTTATGAGGACATGCTATAATGGCATGCATTGATAAGATAAGACTGTCTTCTGGTATAGAATATGATCAGCAGATATAATTGATGCAATATAGGATCCTATTTGCACAATCAGGGGGATTAATCTATTATTTCTTAGTCATAAACGCTAACATCATTTGGCGAAGGTATGAGATCGTGGAACTCTAGTTTAGTTTTAAGTAAGTTAAGTAGAGATAGAACGTTAGAACTTCATGTTAGCATATAGTTTTATACCAGTACATTCTGTACTCATCGTTCTTGTCAATGTCTGTTTGCAATTAGCTATATAGCCCTCGGGCATGAACTTGCAATAAACTATATATTATTATCATTATTCATTTCTAGATACGATAGATTGCCAGATTGTCAAGCTTGGTTACACGTCTCAAAGGGATTTTGACCAAAAAAAATTGTTGGTTTGTTTCGGTAACAAGATATTTGCACATTCTCAACAACGTGATGAAAAGATATTACTACCGACCCGACCTTTGTGCAGTGGACTTTGGTGTAAGTCGTGTTGTTGTTGTCCTCTTCTTTGGAACGGAAGTCCTTGTTAAAGTCCTACATGGAAAAGAGACGTGAGAAACGAAGATACTAAATCTAGTATAAGAGAGACAAGAATCATCAAAGAACACAAGACGTTTTCTTTGGCCTGTATCTATGGCTTTAAATTGCACATTACATGTATCAACCTCTAGGGAAAACTAGAAAGGGGACAGGAACGTAGCTACCAACTCTTTGAAAATGCATCCAATGCAATTTCAAGGCTTAAAAACTGAATTTTCTGAGTCAATTTTCAGGTCATTATTTTAATGTAGTAAGCTGAAAAGTCCTATCCCGTAGTATACTGATATCTGTGAAGCAAACATGCGATGTCGCTGACGGAACATGGCTGTCTGTTTTGCCTCGTAGGCTGGTTCTAGCTATTTATGGGCGGTACCAAAAATACATGTAGCTTGTTTTGGGCTATATTCAACGCTTCAAGTGAGACATGATGATGAAAATCTGCTAACAAATTGCAGTAAATTTCAATATCAGAATGTCAGAAAGTCGTTGTTTTGTTGTCCTGAAATTGCAATTGCATTGGATGCCCAACCTTGTTTTTTTTTACGCACGCTCGCATCAGTTTTGGGGTTCCCACAGAATGTCATCGACATATTGAAATCAACATGGCCTAACTCATTTTTTTCTCTGACTTACCGGTATGTTGCATGCCCTGTCCTCCCTGGCGTAGTGAGGCTGGTACGGGCCCTTGTCGGTATAGGACTCCTGAACCAGGGACGCGTTCTTCGTCTTGACATCACGATCATGACGGTCCAACCGCAAGTTGGTGGCATTCTGACGCGGGAAAGACAATTTCGTTTCAGCGAAGAAGAAAAACTTTATTGCACGACAATCTTACATGGTACAATGTATGACAACAACCATTGAACGTAGTAAAAAGAGAGGTATAGAATAGAATTTAACATAGAGGTATAGAATAAAATTTTACATCCTAATTACTTAAGAAGTAATAAGGGCTACATCTCTTATACATGTATAGTCTTACAATCGAGTGGGGCTAATCATATTTTCTAATAACAACGCAGTCTTTTGTATACCAGTATTTGCAAGAATACCTATGTATATTGATAGACACAGGAACACTTTTGTAGTATATTAAGGCACATTTAAGATACCTGTTTGTGTGATGTCCATGTCGGATGAATGCTCCACCGCAGTAGAAAGTTCTGCGAGAGGAAGAAAAGCAGTGCAAAAAAGTTATGTCAGCACCAAAGCAAGGACAGGTCCTATCAATAAGTGCATGTAAGAACTGTTCACTAAAAAGCTGACAATCTCTTGTTACGTCATAAGGAGAATCTTCTAACCAAAGCTGTTTATGTTTATGTGACCATTGATGAAATTTTTCCACTGCTTCGCCTAGAAACGAATCCATTTCGGCAAGGTTTGAGCTAATGGTACATTTAGGTACTCTCCAAGCAGAGCTTTAGGCTTTGGCGTATTTTTGGGCCTGTTTTTAGGTGTTTTCATCGGGCTTTCTTTTTTGTACCGGCATCTTTTTGTACACCGAGTGGCAAATGGAAAATGCCTGGAAAAAATGCATACTGCCCGGCCAATTTGATACCGTCTTGCAGAGAGATCTGCTTGGAGATCAGCGTTTACATGTAGGTGCAGTAGATCTAGATGCAAAGAATTTTGTCACTGGAATCTTTCATATTCCAGAACGCCATTCCTGAGCACCCTCACCTGCAATCCCGCACTTACCCAGTAGTCGGCGCTGTAGGTGGTGCTCCACCGCGTGCGACACTTACTAAACGGTCCGTCCTTACTCAGCACGTTGTCTCCCTGCAGAACCTTCTTCAGTTGGACCGCGGGGTCTCTCCTCTTCGGCCCGTACAGGTGAGACAAGCGGCCGCCGTGGTGCACCTGGGCTGTAGCCATTGTTGTACACCAGGTGCATACTGCTACAGGTCAACTCAGGTGACTTCAAACTTGACGTGTGTGACGTAACAAATGACTTTGTGCAAGATGTTCTGTGTGGGACGGCAGAACGTACTGCGCCTGCGCGAAACCCGTAATGTAATGTGTATTTATATGTATAACACTTCGGCAAAACGTCTCGTTTAATAGTCATGTATTTCAGGATAATGTGCTGTCTATAGTTTTCAAATGTTGTGTGGAAAAAATGATATCGTTTGTAACGTGCAAAATGCTGATGCAATGTTGCTGAACGTCCGACAAAAAACGTGCAAAATCCGGTTTTCGTTCTGTGTGGGACAAGAACAAGATAGAGACCCCTACGTCACCAATCCCATAATGCAATTGTCCCGTTCCACATTGAACTTATCATTGAAAACGATGTCGATTCATTCCTTTATTCGCTTCCACTTTCCTTCATTCGGTTTTCCACGTATACAAACTATATGCAGACCCTTTCAAACTTTTCACCAACGTGTCTCAGAAATGAACTTTAAACAGTTGCAACACTCAGAAGAAAGTAAAAACTGAATCGAAGGTTTTGAAACTTTATTGCCTCGACAAAGGAAGCATCATTTTCTATTCATCTGCACGAAAACTTTTCCTTCTCCCGTCGGCTGTAGTGGTTCTTGTACGTGGACATCCAAGTCTCGCCCTGCGAAGTCTCGCGATCTTTGGGGCGGAAGATGGAGGACTCGGGGAGACTGGCTGTAGTTGTCGTCAGACTCGGCAGGCGGAGTGGTCGTCTCACCTGGTCTACCGTCGCGACGTTTGTCTTCACTGGGAGTTCTTTAAACCTGGTGAAGAGAAAGGATTAGAGCAGAGCAGGTATGGTTCTGTGTTTATATTTGCATCTATCGGGCTTCGGGAAGCGACTGGAAAGAGTAGAAATTGGCCAAGCCTGACATACGTAGAGGCTATGAGTTTATATGTTGATAATCAGATTTGCTGGTATTCCTTCCTGTAAGGATTGGAGGGGGTTTGAGGGGGTCCAGCTCGAGACTTTCATCACAAGACGCACCGAAGGTCCTACGAGAGGGCACAACGGTAAACTTGAAGTCCCCTTAGTCAGAGGAAGGTTAAAAGGCAGACCTTCAGTGTTTTTGGTTTGTTTGTTCGGTTGGATGGAGGCACGCAGTTGGAAATATGACGCAATAAGCCGATCCCGAATGTCCTCCACAATTATAAGTTCAACCAATGAGAGAAGGGCAATTAGTGGTTCAACCAATGAGAGAGTGGCTACATGTCCGTCAATTATATTTGCATTTCTATGTTTAGACGAAGGTGGGCGGGGCTTCAGGATTGGTCCTTAGGCCTTTCATGACGTCATAATAATTATCATAGGAATCTCGGCAACCAGGTGTTGGTGGGTAAATTGTTTAGGTAGCAGCAAGTTGGTATCAAGGAGAATTATGTTTCCTATAGTCTAGGTAAACTATGAATGTTGGCATGGTTTGTTGGTGAAATTTTACTAAGGGGGGGGGGGCGTTTGTCAGTGAATGCCGTACTTACTGGACACAGTCGTCCCCAAACTGGAAGTGTGTGGTACGCTGGTACTTGTTCCAGTTCTCACGGAAAAGCGCCTCGGAAGAAAGGTCCTTATCCTTGGCGTCCACCTACGAAATTAAAGAACGGTCCACCAATAATTCTTATCTTCATTGACTTGCTTGTAAGGCCGTGTTGATTTGGTTATATGGATTTCTAAAAATGTTTTCGACCATACTGTACATCGACTCCGATCGAGAAAGATACGAGCGTAGCACCAAAATGACAAAATATATGCCGTGAATTGCCCAAAAATGTTGTAAAACGATACTAATGTCGTAGAATGCCAAAATCAATTCCAAAAAGAAAGAAGAAAATGTGAAGAAATGAAAATGAGGAGTCTATAATTCGCCATACCATATTCTGTGTGTTTAGTCATTTGTTCAACCTTCATATAACCACGTAGATGTCATAGTCTTTTCTGCCTAAATAACCCCATAACCAAAACAACATTGGTGCCTAATGCCTACTTCATTAAGCTTGAAAATCAAAACAAGTGGAAGGTTACATACACCAGTGAATGAGGTCTTGTATACGGACGTTTCCAGCGGCTTGTCTCTGTTGAACTGAGGATTCATGTCCTGAGAAAAAAAGAATTCTGAATGAATGCGTAAATGCTTTCCCTCCCATTTGAGTGAAAAAAATTAACCTTTACTCGCGTTTTTAGATGTACGTAAAGATAGGATTTTGAGCAGTGGCTACACTGGACCACCAGTCAAAACAAACAAACAAACAAGCAAACAAAAAAACAAACAAACAAACACAAGTGCAGTTTCAGGTACGTACCGGTATACTGTTTCCCGCTCCCGGATCGAAAGGTGGAGGCTGTCAAAGATAAAGATTTTTTTATTAAAACAGCAAAAGCATAAATACATACAAGATGACATCGCACTCAAGTTCCATGGAACTTATATTAATGGCGCAGAGATGATTAAACATGTGGTAAAGATATTGTAATTACATGGACAAATAAATAAATATACAAAATGGAAACAATTAAACTAATTAATATTTGGGTTAAGTAAATGGAATTCAACGAGCGCAAGTCCCAAACCCTATCCATTAGAATTACTGGTAGGACACGAGTAGAATAATTGAAGTCGAAAAGATTAATCAGATACAAAACGACCATTTTTGGTGATGAAGTTCTGAGGTAAGCTCATAATTTTACAATTAGTCTCAAAACTGCAAAAGGATAATAAAGATAAAGATTGATGGATCAACAACGATCTTACTGGAAATATTCTTCATGGAATGAATTTGAGATTTACAGTTAAATTTGATGCCTACTGATTTGAAAATTGATCGCAACGCAATGAGATCAAAGCTGTGCCTTGGACGAATTTTGCTAGTCTCCACTAGACTAAGAACAGTAAACAGTAAAAATTTGTTGTCGCTTTTGAACGTTCGAACACCCATTTTTGTCTCATTCGTGGCTCATTAAAAAGTTACACAAAAGTTATACATAACTGGACGATAAAGTTCTGTTTTAAATTAAAAACGAACCTGTCGTCCGGGTCTTCGGAAAAACTCGGAGGCTGCTGACGTCACAGGTTTCATACTGTCCGAACCGAGCTGGAAGTGAGTCTCATTCTGCGCAGATGGAAACACGGACGAATATGTACTAGTATTTGTTATTTACTTACTGTGGCCTAAGGATATCGGTGTATAAACAGATGATCTAAGAAACAAAGGCAAAGATACCTGTTTGTGTGATGTCCATGTCGGATGAATGCTCCACCTCAGTAGAAAGTTCTGCGAAAGGAAAAAAAAAACACGGCAAATGAAGGTTTTGTACAAATCTACTCAGCAAAACAAAACAAAGGGCTAATGTTGATTATGCGTATATTGCGTGTAATGAAGTCGCCGACACATTCGTTACATGAAACACTGGTGCTGTTGTTTTTGTGGCTACATTATTACATTATGTCAAATCATGACTTTATGTTAGAAGCCTACCTAGCGATCTTTGGTTGAAAAAACAATCAGGAATGCGAATGTGCACAACATTGTACAAAGACAACGTTATTTAGTTGTCAAGAAGCACATTGCATTCCAGAACGTCAATGGCAATGCTGAATAGGAGTTACTACAAAATATTGCAGTCCCGTACTTACCCAGTAGTCGGCGCTGTAGGTGGTGCTCCACCGCGTGCGACACTTACTAAACGGTCCGTCCTTACTCAGCACGTTGTCTCCCTGCAGAACCTTCTTCAGTTGGACCGCGGGGTCTCTCCTCTTCGGCCCGTACAGGTGAGACAAGCGGCCGCCGTGCTGCACCTGGGCTGTAGCCATGGTGCATACTGCTAGGGGTCAAGTAAGGTGACTTTTCAACTTGACAGTGACGTTGGGGATGTAACAATGACCTAACAAAAGTAACAATGTACGTAAGAACAAACGATTCGCTACGTCATCAATGCCATGCCTTGTGCCATTGTGTGCCTCAAATACGTTCCACAAGTCGATTCATTGTGTGTGTGTGCGTGTGTGTGTGTGTGTGCCGATCTGTGCTTGTGTGTGTGTGTGTGTGTGTGTGCGCGCGCGTGTGTGTGTGTACACATGTGTGTGTGTGTGTGTGTCGATCTGTGCTTGTGTGTGTGTGTGTGTATGTGTGGGTGTGTGTGTGTGTGTGTATGCGTGCGTGTCTATGTGTATGTGTGTGTGTGTGTGTGTTTGTGTGTCTTGGTGTGTGTTTCCGCCAGGCCCTTAGGTCAGGTTGTAATGGATACGGTTGGGTTGTTTCCTTTGCATGGCAAAGAAATGATCTACTACTAGTAGATATTTTATGGAGGTCTGAGATCTCCGAATTCTTTTTTTTATACATTTCACTCTAGGTCGATCAAAGAACATGTCTCTGACGATGGAAAGAATCTGACGAATGGATAGTTTGTTTGATAGACTGTTTTCTTGAACAACTGCAAGGTGTACTCTTGAATAACCTTCCCAAGCTGCCTAACCACCCCTGTAACAAAATAGACCACCCCTGAGAGGTGCCCAACAAGGTAGTGGGGAAAATTCAGTCTTGATGTGCACACAAAGAAAGGTCTCTTTGACGAGGACGAAGTACACGACAACTAAAACCTGCAGGTAGGGACTGCGCATCGTCTTTATATTGTTCTTGAACTTTCTATAATACTGCTATATGGTTCTGAATTTGTAGGGCTTATAAACCAGTACAGTAAGTACGTTTTAACAGTGTGCATACTAATTCTAATCCGCAACAGGGGTATTTCGCGTTGAAAGAAAGTGACGAAAAAGTTTCGAGGGTTCAGTTTTGAGTTCCCATTTCTCATGATCTGCTACAAAATGACATTAACTACTAACATGGCTGGAAAGTATAAGAAGTGGCGTGTTTGGAGTGGAAATTGATTTCGGACCCGAGGCCTACTTCCGGGTTTTGAGTTTGACCCAGATTGACCTTTGATGCGTTCTGGTCTCGGACTGGGGTTTTCTTTTGCTAAAGGCTTTCTCTTGCGGACAATATAAGTTGTTTTGGTTGCTAAATTATATTCAAATTCTAAATAACAAAAGGGTCAATTTTTCGTTGGAAAATCCTTTCCCCTCCAAAATTTACAAAGAAACATACATTTGAGAGGTTGAAGCAAGTTGCTGGAGGGATATCCTTTATTCATTACGATATTTTTTTTTTGCTGGAATTTACTGTCATTGGCTTGTGCAGTGTTTATTTCTTGACATGGTTTATGTTCTGCCGACTAGAACCCTTATAAGCCATGGGTCCTCTTAGAGTGGCCATTATAGGAGCCGGGGTGAGCGGGCTCACTTCAATCAAGGCCTGTCTGGAGGAGGGGCTTCAGCCGGTCTGTTTCGAGCAACATGACGATCTCGGTAAGACATCATTGCACGTGTTAAATTTTAACTACCTTCGTCAGAAGGTTATGTTTTTGGTAGCGTTTGTTGTTGTGTGCGTGTGTGTGTGTGTGTGTTCGTGTTGTCTGTATGTGTGTGTGTTTGTCTGTGTGTGTGTGTGTTTGTGTGTGTGTGTGTGTGTGTGTTTGTGTGTGTGTGTGTGTGTTTGTGTGTGTGTGTGTGTGTAGAACATGGACCGGTCTTAAATACATGCGTATTTTCCCGAGTATTCCTTTGGTCTTCTCCTTACTGTGCTACTGTCAGTAACCTCCATACAACCTGCTTATATTCCAGGCGGCGTGTGGTACTACTCAGACGATGTCAGACCTAACCAGGGCTCCGCCGTGTACCGGTCTCTCATCACGAACACCAGCAAAGAAATGATGTCGTTTAGCGACTTCCCCTTCCCTAAAGACACGCCCCCCTACCTGCCGTACCACCGTGTGTACACATATCTACAGGACTACGCTCGGCACTTCGACCTGAGGAAACACATCCGGTTTAACACGCAGGTGGGAATATTCTTGTTGAACCACCGCTTCTGATTAATACAAAGCCCCAGTCACACATTCACGACTTTGGCGTCCCGAACACTAGCCGATCCTCCCCAACCGATGGTCGGCGCAAAGTCGGCTGATGTTCGGCGAGGTCGGCGCAAAGTCGGCTGTAATGTATAAAACATTCGTGTGTTAGTCGTGAGGATCGACCATGGTTGGCTGGTATTCAGCTGTCAAGTCAACAGAACAACAGCTAATCATTCAGGAGTAAGTCAGGCGTGTTCGAGGCGTGTTCTGGGGTCAAATTTGACGAAAATTTAACTCAAATTTGTTTCGATTCGTATAGAAAAATAGGCTTTGCCTAAATCTTGTCAGAGTGCTCCCGAACGCTTCCGAACCTAGTCGGCTGGTGTTCGGGAACAAATTTGTGGAAAGGTCATGAATGTGTGACGGGTTTGAATTTCATACAAGCAGGAGATCTGTAGCTGCTGTCACATTTTCACGAATTTGGCCTCCTGAACGCTAGCCGAACGCTCGCCTACCATGGTTAGGAGTGAGTCGGCTGGCGTTCGGCCGGGTCGGCTACGGTTTGGCTGCGCCAGCTAAATGTTTCAAAATGTTTTAAAAAATTTGTGGGGTGTTTGGGAGGTTCGATCAAAGCTGGCTGGTTTTCGACCGTAAGTTAGCAAACAACAGGGCAACCATCCGTGAGTCAGCAGTGTCCGGGGTGTGTTCATTAATCAAATTTGACTCTAATTTAACTCGAATTCGTTTTGAGTCATATACAAATGGTATACGTAGGCGTGGCCTGAATCTGGCGTGGCGTGCTCCCGAACATCAGCCGGACAGGTCGAACGAATTTCTTGCGACGTTCGAGAATGTGTGACAAGGGCTTATAAGCCATTGTTCCGATGTTCTCCTTTCTTACGTTTAATACTGTTTATCACTCCAGGTCAGCCGCATACAGAAGACGGAAGACTTTGATGAGACAGGACGGTGGGAGGTCCGTACTGTACAGACGGGTCACGGCGATGGGGAACACAGAGAGACATTTGACGCCGTCATGGTACGTACTTAATGGCCATAGCTATAGACCACAACTAGAAAGGTAACATTTGCAAGGCAAATGCATAATGTTTACCTTTGCATATGGTCTGCTCTGTTAATTCTTACACAAACACATTCAATATTTATATGATCAGGCAGGAGTCTAAATCCCTCCTGCTATGAAATTGCAACATGATGTAACCCAACACTAGTTACCATGGTAACAGACACAATATTGGTTCTGGTCAGTGGTCGCTGTTTGGAGAAGAAGGAGAAGAAGTAGAGGAAGAAGAAACTGAGCAAAAATAATGTTTCCCTTTAGTAAACATAATAATAACATGATCTCCGATAAGGATGAAGCGTAATAGAGCCAGCCGACCACTTACGCCATCTTATTCATGTGACTGAAAGCTCATCCGCAAAGTGATCGTTCACCATGATTTGCTGCTTCCATACTGTTCAACCCACGGTCCATTTTGTACGTAAAACTTTCTGAAATTTACCTCGCGACTCAAAGGAAAAGGGGAAGACAGAAGAAAATGTACCGTGGCCGACAAGAACAAAATTTTACACCGCAACTTTTGGTGTTTTACACCGCAACTTTTGGTGTTTTACACTGCAACTTTTGGTGTTTTACACTGCAACTTTGGGTGTTTTACACTGCAACTTTTGCTGTGTTTTACACTGCAACTTTTGCTTGTGTTTTACACTGCAACTTTTTGGTGTTTTACCG